CAAAGAACAATATGGATGCATCTTGAGGAGATTATGCTAACTTAACATACCAGTTACAAAAAGACAATGAAGGGCATATTCCACTTATATGAGGTGTCTAGTCTAATTAATAACACCACAAATTAGAATAATGTTTGTCAATGGCTGGGGGAGAAGACTGTAAATGGGGGGGTTGTAGTTTAAGGGGTATAGAATTTCAGTTTTGCAAGATGAAGAGCTTCTGGGGATCTTTTACATAACAACCAGAATGTACTTAACACTCCCGAATAGTACACTTACAAAGAATAAGATGGAAAAATTTATGTTGTTTATATTTAAACAAAAAATTAAAACACAAAGGATGCTAGATATGAGGGGATCTGTTGATGCTTAGGCTGAACATGGAGTGCAGAGATGGCAATCTGTCTGTGTTAATGTGAATAGCAGCAAATAGCATCTGCCCTTTTACTCACATCATGCTGAAAAGTAGCACACTCAGCTATTTGGAATGTTTGCCACAAACCACAACCACAGTTTGTAGTAGCACCAATGACAGTAGTTGTGAAGGTATAAGCAATGGAAATCACAGAGTATGACATCATATTGGTCACAGAACCACAAAATATTGTTTTTTAAATTCTACTTCAAAATTGCTAACTGTAATCATATTTTGCCATAATAAAGAGGCTTGAATATAGGTGAAGGGAAGTATCTGATTACATATCCATCTCTGGTGTTGTYCTTTGGGCCAACTAAGTACAAAGAGAAGAAATTCTCCTTTTATATGTTATTGAGGTTAATTTTACAAGGTTTAACTTGAATAAAACACAAGCATATTGTGTATCACTTTGACAATAATAAACATTTTGGAAAGGATTTCTCTTCTTTAATGTTGAATGTAAACATATTTCTTTGTGAGAAGATATGTTGACTTGCCATTCCCTCAGTAAACAGAATGTGACCTTATTTAAAATAAGAGTGTCAATGCTGAAGTCATTTTATAGGTCAAGGCCATACTATAGAAGGGTGACCTCTAGATCCAACATGCCTTGTGTCCTCATAAGAAGACAGAGACACAGAGAGAACACCACATGAAGATAGAGGCATCGCCGTGACAACTCCCACCACAGGTTCAGTATTTTAAAATGACCAATGGGGGTAAAGTGGGCAGTATTCTAGTTAGGCTTTCTAAAGTAACCAATGGGGGAAAATTGGAAAATATTCTAATCAGGTATCTTAAGGTAACCAATGAGAGCATGTGGGGTAAGGTCTTCAATTAGGTCCATATAGGGAAGAGAACAACTCACAGCTCAGCATAGAAGACATAAATTTTCAGACACTGGGGCCTTGAGACTCTCTGTCTTATTCAGTTCATTCCACTCTACTTAACAGAATGCTACTTACACCTTTATCTTTAGTAAATCTGTACTTTACCTGTTGCTTGTTTGTGTCTTGTTCAATTCTTTGTTTGGGACACATTGGACAACCCAGTGATAGCACTTGAGTTTTTCTATTAATTTAAAAGGTTGAGTGTTTTAATGCKTCTCTGTATTTGGGAGTCTAAAATTTTCTGGCATTCTCTAAAAGGGAATTGATCCATGTGTGTATGTTTATTCAGTGTATCTGTTGGAGGAGGTAAAATCTGAATCTTTCTATTCTACCATTTTTATAACAAGCTATTCCTCTTTTATTTCCTCCATAAGAGCAGAATCATCTCTTGTTCTATATGAATCCCTTAACTCGCTGTATTTAAAAAAAATCCATCACTGTGACAGCCACATCAATATTTATAGCAGCACAATTGACAAGAGCCAAACTGTGGAACTAACCTAGATGCTTTTCAATAGATGAATGGATAAAAAAACTGTGAACTGTGGTATATATTCACAATGAAATATTAGTTAGCAATAAAAGAATAAAATTATGGCATTTGCAAGTTAATGGGTGGAGTTGGATAATATCATGCTAAGCAAAGTGAGTCAATCCCCCCAAATCAAAGGCCAAATGTTTTCTCTGATAAGTGAATGCTAATCTATAATGGAGAGGGAATGGGATAAGTGGAGGAACTTTGGACTGGGCAAAACTAGGAGGAGGGATGGGGTATGGAGATAGCAAAGACAGTGGAATGAGATGGGTATCATGAATGATTGTATGAATGGTGTGACCCTACTGCACGTACAACCAGAGAAGTGAAAAATTGTGTACTATTTGTTTACAATGAATAAAAGAACATTTGGCTGTCATGTATAACTTATTAGAACAAATGGATAAAAAATTTAAAGATTAATCACTGTGATCATGCATCTCATTGCTAATGTATTTCAGAGCTTCTCTTTCATATTTCTATCTGCTTTGTTATCTGTTAATTTCTTTTCCCAAATAGGAAAAAAGCTCTTATCATAACCTCTAAAAGGGTTCTATCTAGTACCACTTGTGAGAGTTAAAAGTATCAGCATCATACAAAATTCATTTGCATTTCTCTATGTTAACACTGCAGAACCTGAAAAGAAAATTAGGAAAATAATTCCCCTTCCAAAAGGATAAAAAAATACCTGGGAATAAACTTAACCTTGATCTTAAACTTGTACAAGAAGGGAAAGTCTTATACACTGAAAATGGAAAGAAAAAGCATTGATAAAAGACATTAAAGAATGTGTAAGTAGAAAAAAATTCATGTTTATGGATTGGAAAACTTAATATTGTTAAAATTTCAAAACTACCTCGTGGAATCTACACCTTCTATACCACCTTTAAAAAAATTCCACTGATATTTTTTTACATAAAGAGAAAAAATGAATTCTAAAAATTCATATGGAATATCAATTACATTAAATAGCTGACATAATAATAAAAACAATGCAGGATGTCCTTTTTTTCTGTTTTCAATGTATTTTTGCAAAACTACATAATTGAACCATTGTGGTACGGATATATATAATGACAGGTAGAGAAATTGAATAGATTGGAGAGCCCAGAAATAAACTCTTACTTATATGGTCAAATGCAACAAAACATATCAAAACCACTTAATTGGAAAAAGACAGTCTTTTCAACAAATGGTTCAGAGAAAATTGAATATCCACACTGAAAAAAATAAAGCTGAACACTTACCATATACCATGAATAAAAATTGGCTCTAAAAACTTAAATGTAATACCTAAAATTCTAAAATAGAAGAAAACATTGAGGGGCTGGGGATGTGGCTCAAGCGGTAGCGCGCTCGCCTGGCATTCGAGCCGCCCGGGTTCGATCCTCAGCACCACATACCAACAAAGATGTTGTGTCTGCAGAGAACTAAAAAATAAATATTAAAAAAAAGAAAACATTGGGAAAAACTTTCATAACACTGTATTTGGCAATGATTTATTGTATATTAAAAGAACAAGCGGGCTGGGGATGTGGCTCAAGCGGTAGCGCGCTCACCTGGCATGCGTGCGGCCCGGGTTCGATCCTCAGTACCACATACCAACAAAGATGTTGTGTCCGCCGAGAACTAAAAAATAAATATTAAAAAATT